TTGAATAGTCAAAAAATGTTTATTTCACCCCATGACATGCCTAGCTCAAAAATATTTTAAGTTTTAATTCATGATTTCTTATCATTTTCACATTTTGTGACCTTGCACACTCAACAATCCTTTGAGATTTTAGCGTTAATTACTGTTAAAGCCAAGGAAAAATTTTAAAATACTGGATTTTTTTCATTTGTAATTCACATAGCTCTAAAAGTATAAAGCCTAGAATTATGAATCCTTTTTAGCTCGACTTTTCTATGAAAAGGGGAGCTATCCTACCCGCCCCGGCGTCGGCGTCGGCGTTGGCGTCACACCTTGGTTAAGTTTTTCGTACCACCCCACTTTATTTCAGAAGTATTACAAGTATGGCTTTGAAACTTACCATACTTGTTCACCATCATAACCTCCATCTACAGACAAGAGTACATAACTCTGTCAAGGTTTTTGACAGAATTATGGCCCTTTTTTGACTTAGAAAGTGTATTGAGCTTGGTTAAGTTTTTTGTACCACCTCACTTTATTTCAAAACCATTGGAGGTATTGCTTTGAAACTGACCATACTTGTTTACCATCACGACCTTCATCAACAGACAAGAGGACATAACTCTGTCAAGGTTTTTGACAGAATTATGCCCCTTTTTGACTTAGAAAATACATTGAATATGGGTAAAATCCATTTATTGCCTTAACCCTTTGAGATATTGCTTTGAAACTTTTAATGCTATTTCACATCATTACCCCCATCTGTACGCAAGAGAAGGTAACTCTGTCAAGGATTTGTTTTAAAAATTAAGGCCTTTTATCGACTTAGAATCTTGGTTAAGTTTTTAGTACCAGTCCACTTTTTGACTGAACTGTTTGAGATATTAATTTGAAAGTTGGAATACTTGTTTACAATCATGATTCCCAAACATGTCCAGGAGAAGGTAATTCTGTCAAAGATTTTATTTGAATTATGGCCCTTAACTGTCAATGTTTTGTATTATAGGCAAGCACTAAAAAACTTAAAAAATCTAAAAAAATTCATTCCTATCCACTTGTTCACTTTACCATAAATTATGTCATAATAAAATAATTCTTCACTAAATATCTTAATGCTCATGGCCATTGTTCACTTTAAAAATACAGAGATTCTTGTATTGCCTTTTACTGCAAAAACTTTTTTTATTGGCAAGCAATAAAAAAGTCGAGCGCGCTGTCTTACGGACAGCTCTTGTTTGAAGCTGCTGTTACACAGATTCTCTGAGTCTTGGAGACATGTGGGAGGAGAATCGTGAAATTAAGAGGATGATGTAGCAATTTTTGTCAAGGTCAGCAGCAGATGACCAACCGCTGCAGCTTCCTGAAGATATCTCATTCCCTATTCGTTCTCCTTAGCAGATGGAAACATTCGATGAGCTTCTGGGAGATCAGACAAAGCTGTCATCTGTGGTAAGCATAGTGTTAGTCATGTAATTATTGCACCATTAGTAACTGAAAAAAGTATACCTCATATCCACTGGCTTAAATGCAAAATAACATAATGGTCTGTGGTTAGCACTTGATGATAATGTATTATCATTCTGCTATACTTATGTAGGAAATATTGTACAGTGGACAAACACTTTACTGCATTACTTTCGGAATTAAAAACTGGCTTGTTTTAATTTTTTGATTCATATTGAAACAGTTATTTTATTATTTAGATATGCTATAATAGCCATGAGCACAAGACATGGGCAGTTGGCCTCGTTTTCAACATTGATTATTAAAACAAGACAGTCGATTCATTTATCAAAATGCTGGCAGCTTTCAAAATACCAGGAAAATGACTATTACCCACAAAATCCAGGAATTGCGCTGTTATTATAATATCAAAAATTATTCTGTTTATACTGTATAAACTCGTGTTTAAAAAACAACAATGATAATGTGCCCCATTACACTCGGTGGAGGGGACAAACAAAAAGGCACAAGTCACTTAGGCTGTAAATATAGGAGGAAAGGTCTTTTAATTTGTCAATTCAAACAGTTTTCTTGGCAGATCATGTATTTGAGGTCCAGTTGACAATTATTTGTCATTTGGTGACTTGCAGCGCATCACAAATTTTGAAAATTAGTAGTGTTAAAATTAACATTAAAAAAGTTTATGTTCTGCTTTATTTAAGGTGCGGTTCCTCTCAATGTTTGGTGGGGCAGTTGTGCGGGAAACTGTTGACCGCTAGATGATAGAAACCATGTCAAATGAACTGGCAAGAATGTTCAATATGAAGGGGGCTGAAAGGGAAGAAAACATTTGGGGGCCTCTAGATACTGAATGTATTGTATAGTAAGTGATATATTACGAATTTGCAAAGTGGTGTCTTTAAGTAAGGCTTCAAAATAGATATATTATCCAAGATCTTGTTATTGTGTCTTCAGGTATCGCTTTAATGAAAGAAAATGCTTGATAAGCTTTTATCGAAATTAATAAGAGAGAATATTTTTTTACATGCTGTGTGGTTTTGATCCCATGCATTGTGTTGTGATGCATAATATAAGCAGAAATCACCTTCCTGTAAAGCAAGTTATTTGCTTACCTTAACATTCTTTACTGATACACCGATAAGATGATCTCAGCTTACAACTGACTGCAGCGATATCACAGAAATATTGTTAAAAGCTATGTAAAACCGGGACACAAACATCTATATTTGTTAAAACATACCAGAATTAGTTTATATTCCAATTTTATGCTCAAAATGCTACAAGGTGACTTATGACCTTTGAATGGTTTCAATACCTACATTTCAATGATTTCACTGCATTTCATTTCATTCTTTAAGGATAAGGATGCTTGTTTTATAGAATGTGTCCAAAGGAACTTGCCGACAAAGACTGCGACGAGGAAGGATATTGAAATAAAGGTTTCAAAGTGGCTGGCTGGGGCGTGGGACCGCGATGGGGGAAGGAAAGCAAGAAACAAAGTGTCCGAGACCTTACCTGAAGCAAATGAAGGAAGTGACTAGACATGTTTTTATTTTTAAAAAATGCAAATCTATAGAGGATATTTGTTTGTTAGTGTGTAAGATGACATTTTATATCATCAAGTGAGCTGTAAAAACATTATTCTCACGAGTGAGAACACTGTTATTTAAAAGTCCCTCAATGATATAAAATTACATCTTACACAACAAACAATAAAGTGTCTTTTTATTTTATGCTAATGAAATTTCCTCAATATTAACTTTAATAATTATTAAATCTGTTTTCCCCACTGTTAACATCAATTTTAGTTGAATTTAAGTCCAATTATTCATAAATACAGGAGTCTTGGGCTTAACAAAAAGTTTGACAATCAACGTTGAATAGCAATGATTTTATTTATTTTATTAAAAATATATGAATAATCGCTTGTTTTAATAATAAAAACAACCAATTCTAGAAGAACAAGAGGGCCATGATGGCCCAAAGTCGCTCACCTGTATATAGGCCCCTGGAGCGGGGCCAGTTTAAACCCCAGGGCTTTTATTT